TCACCTAAAGTAAGTTATTTCCTCCATGAACGAGCCGTTCCATGTGGAGTGTCATAGCAATGCAAAGGACTGACACTGAAGTATGTCTCGGAAACGAAGCGGGAAATTAGCCGATGTTAAATTACCGAAGGGAATTGCAGAGATTTATGCAGAAGGATAATCCTGTCGATGTTATTGATATTTAATCAGGTTAACTAAGACATCGGTTACCTTGGGAGAATCGACTGGAGAATAATTATGGTACACCAGTCTTTCAAGTGACACCAGTCTATCGGACTGCTTTGAAAAACCAGCATTTGAGGTACTGGATTTTTGTTAATTGAGCTACTAGTGGCAGTAGAATATACGCAACTGCCTCAGCCACTAGATAGGTCGTTTTATATCAGATTTAAGTCATCGAGGCAAGAATTTGCTTCTAATTAACTATTCCAGGTGGCTAATGTCTATTTTTATTCTCTGGTACTTTAACTCGTTCATGTCCACCGCCTCAAAATAGGAGGGTAGGCATTAATGGTTTATCGGTAGAAACTTATAATTAATACCAGATGTTTTTGTTTAGAAAACTATAATTCTTGTAGAAACCTATAATTAATACCTGGTTTGTTTAGCTACCTGTAATTGATATATTTTTTTTTACAAGCCTATAATTAATATCATATTTAAAATAAAATAAAAACAAGTAATACCTTATAATTTTACAAGCCTATAATTAATATCATATTTGAAATAAAATAAAAACAAGTAATACCTTATAATTTTACAAACCTATAATTAATACTGGCTGTTATTTTTTTAGAAACCTACCAGTTTGTTTTTAAAATCCGATAATTAATACTGGATATTTTTAGGAACCCATAATTATTCTGGATTGTCCCGAGAAGCCTATACCATATCATGTTGAAACACCGGTGGTCGATCTACGATCACTGAAGTTAAGAAACGTCGAGCCTGGTCCATGTCTAGATGGGTGGCCGCTTGGGAATAACAATACTGTAAGCTTAAATGTAGTGGTGGTGTAATGGATAATGACTCGAAATTAAGAATTATTCAGAGAGACAAGTTCCAATTCCAGTCGAGTTCATTATATTCTCTTAAGCGTAAGTACCTTTGGGAAATGTATGAATCTACTTTTTCTCCCATCAGCTAAGCGTTGAATAGTAAGATTTGTATCAATCAATTATTATTGACGCCAAAACGTTCTTAAAAATTTAAAAGCATTTCTGGTTTTAAATAACCTGCAACGGGTTGATAAGCCGTAAAAAACAATTCAATCAATTTAGAAGCGTATAATTAAGACTGGATGTTTAGTTTAGAAACCTATAATTATAGATGATTGTTTTTAGAAGACTATAATTACTACCGGCTTTTTAGAAACCCACAATTAATAATAGATTTTTTTTTAGAAACCTATAATAAAAATAGGATTTTTTTTCATAGAAAACTATAATTAAAACCGGATTTTTATTTCCATTCTTATAATTAATTCCTGTTCTTATAATTAATTTCTATTCTTATAATTAAAACTGGATTTTACTGTAAACACGTAGGCTCGGCCAAAATTTCCTTCTAGATCCCGCATAAAACGAGGTCGGGTAGCTGTTTCCCGAGACGAGACTCTGCCCTTCGACATGGCCTAGTCTGGGATCCTCTCTGCCTCCAGGCAGAGAATTTGACCGGTACAGCTGGAGATGAATCTCCAACTGCAGACTAACATGCAGTATTTACTTCTGTATTCTTGGGAATGGGAGCATACCCATTACTGTACGTACGTATGCTACAGCAGAAACAAAATATGCAATTTTGTAGTAGCAACTTGCATGTTCTAATGTAACAGTTAACACACACACACACACACACACACACACACACACACACACACACACACACATATATATTCTGTTTATACGTTATTTTTATACATACAAATATTTAAGTAGATGCTATATTTTATGTCCGAAAAATTGCATAGAAATTATATCTTCTCCGATAAATGTAGTTAATCAATCAGTTATGAGTCATGCGTGATACACGCTTAGGCGATCATGTATCTTTCGATACATGACTGACGAGGCAGATTTTTTCCCTTAGTAGGTTACCAATTTTTTCTACGGCAGACCAGCTGTAGATCAGTTGCCATCCAGCGGTATAACAGTTGCCATCCAAGGCTATAGAACCCTGTCTATTTACCCAGCTATTTACCCATAGCTGGGGGAGAAGAAGAGGATTAATACTGTTTATTATAAACAGAACATTTACTTAAATATTTTTATCTATAAAAATAACCTATAAACAGAAAATATTTAAAAAAAAAATTGTCGGACTTAGTCCATTTCATAATATATATATATATATATATATATATATATATATATATATTTACGAGTTCAAATGCCCCTTAAGAAACTGTGTTTTTAATCAAACCGAACTCATAAATTATTACATTGGTCACACAACTACATGCCTATCCAGACGACTTACGTTACACCTATTCGACTACAGCTCCATCAGGACCCATTTAAACACACACACAAACTTACCAGCCACCATCCGAAACATACTAGTAGAAAATACAAGGATAATAACCACATGTGAAAAAAGATTAAAAATAATGTAAGCTTTTATAATAAAAAAGAAAAAGGCAACACTCAATAATATTAAATACGAACACGGCCAAAATGTGCTGACAGTTCTCGGAAAATAAAAAATATATATCTCTAGATACATACACATTATATATATATATATATATATATATATATATATATATATTTGGTTGGATAGAATCTCTGATATTGAGCGCTTTCTAATAAGTACCATATATAATATATAAATAATTATACATACTTATATTTATTTATATTTATATACACTTTTCACACACACACACACACACACACACACACACACACACACACACACACACACACAAACACACACACAAACACACACACACACATACATATATATATATATATATATATATATATATATATATATATATATATATATACGCACCTACGTTTATAGAGCATGTGTATTTATTATATACTCTATAGCTTTGTTTATCTAAATTAAGCACTCTTTTGTTTACACCTTAAATTAATATTTATTTGCTCAACTATATAAGTACGTTATCACACGCACATATAGTTGCTATTATCTCGTTATTTAGTTTATGTTCACATTTCTCTCTCTCTATATATATATATATATATTTATACACACACACACACACACACACACACATATATATATATATATATATATATATATATATATATATATATATATAATACCGTCTCTACAGTGGCTCGAAAGACACTCCGCTTGAATTTGTCTGGTATATATGCATATCTTACCACTCTGTCTTTTTATTAAACAGTATATCTATTTATAGTTAATTAATAATTATTTTAATAAATAGACGGAACTGAAATATGGGTATCCATTAAAATAACGTTTAAGGTGATCAAATTTTTAGGATTAATAAATGAAAAATACATTACGTCTTTGTGGTGGCTGGCTGCTCACATATCCGCGTATGGCTCTCTTTTAGAGCAGCTTGCAAATCCCTGTTGCAGACGTCTGTTCAGGCACATTTATGTTTGTGCAAAACCCACAGAGTCAACCTGTGGTTTATACTGAGTGGACTTTAGTTACGGTTTCTGGGAAACTGTGCATTATCTGACGTAATCAGTAGTTTGCAGAAGACAAGTACACTCAAACCCTCGGTCATGCTGACTTGCGACCTTCTGCTAGCACTACCATCGACGGCTCTTGAATAGTCAGCCCGGTATTAGGCTTCCTGAAGCCACTCCGGTCGATAATAACAACAACAAGAATATATAGCTGCGTATACCCAGCTATGGGTAAATAGCAGGAGAGACTGGGTTCTATAGCCTTGGATGGTAACAGTTCTAGGAGAAAGACAACTCTGAATTCAAAAACTGCGGAGGGTTATTTGGGACCTTGTGGCACGTAATGCACCAGGTCTCTGTATTCGGCGCTTCAAAAAATGTGGTTGGTTCTGCACAAAGCCTTCGCCACTATAATCAAATCATATGTGCTGGTGTCTAGCTTTCGTTTCCTAGGAACTGAGCTGCTTGACCCTTATACAACGGGAGAGTCCACCATATATATATATATATATATATATATATATATGATAAAATATAGTTTTAAGGTATGCTATATTTATGCTGGTGTCTTAGCTGTCGGTTCCTAGGAACTGAGCTGCTTGACCCTCATACATCGAATGCAACAGAAGAGTCTCATATATATATATATATATATATATATATATATATATATGTATGTATGTATGTATGTGTGTGTGTGTGTGTGTGCGTGTAACCACGGCTTTGAAATCAGAGTTGTCCTTCAAGTCCCCAGAATAAAGGTATCATTTAGCTTGTAGTTGAAAGTAAGGGAGAAGTGATGCCTTTTCCCAAGGTTATTAGTGCGAGAATGAATTCAACAGACAAGACCGTAATTTGAACTCCTCTTGCTGAGTTCGCTCCGATAAATACGCTACACATTCTTCGTTTGCAATAATATCATAAGTATCAATCCAAAGGTAGACAGATAAGAAGAGACAGAGAAAGACGCGGTGGATTGGGGGGGGGTCGGATGATGATGATAATGATAATGATGATGATTGTAGGAAATGGAAGTGAATGAAGAACAAGAAAACAAGCGAGTTAAAAAAAAAAAAAAAAAAAAAAAAAAAGAAGAAGAAAAGAAATTAATAATTCCTTGTCGACCTGAACTGCTGGCGGGGTCAGCGTAAACAACGTCCTCATTATGGCTGTTCATCTTGACATTTGTCACAACGCCATTAAAAATAACCACCAAATAGCTTTAACCTATATAAGTTACAGGATAAGTAAAAACGAAAAAGTACGAAGCAATCAAATATCGTCTCCCAACTCCATTTCCTGCACCCCCCCACTGAACCAAGCACCTGCCAACAAGCAACATAAACAACCTAACTTCCTCAGACCAAAAAAAAGAAAAGAAAAAATGCTGACAGTCGTCTGCTGATCGCAATCTCTCTCTCTTTCTCTCTCTCTCTCTCTCTCTCTCTCATTCCTTTTTTAACTCCGTCCTTTATTTTATTCTTTCTTTCTTTCTTTCTTTCTTTAATTCCTTCTTTCTTTCTTTAATTCTCTCTTAATTCCTTCTTTCGTTCTTTATTTAATTCTTTCTTCCTTTCTTTATCTATTTTCTTCTTTCTTTACTTATTTCTTTCTTTCTTTCTTTCTTTACTTAATTCCTTTTTTCTTTATTTAATTCTTGCTTTACTTAATTCCTTCTTTCTTTTTTAATTAATTCTTTCTTTCTTTCTTTCTTTCTTCTTTCTTTCTTTCTTTCTTTCTTAATTCCTTCTTTCGTTCTTTATTTAATTCTTTCTTTCTTTCTTTACCTATTTTCTTCTTTCTTTACTTATTTCCTTCCTTCCTTCTTTCTTTCTTTCTTTCTTTCTTTCTTTACTTAATTCCTTTTTTCTTTATTTAATTATTCGTTTACTTAATTCCGTCTTTCGTTTTTTATTTAATTCTTTCTTTCTTTATTTAATTCTTTCTTTCTTTCTTTCTTTCTTTCTTTCTTTCTTTCTTTCTTTCTTTAATTTCTTCTTTCTTTCTTTATCTAATTTCTTCTTTCCTTATTTGTTTGTTTGTTTCTTTCTTTCTTTACTTAATTCCTTCTTTCTGGTTTGCTTTCATTTCCTTCTTTTTTCTTTAATTCCTTCTTTCTTTCAGTCTTTTTCTTACTTTTAGTCTATTTTTCTTTCTTTCTTTCTGCCTTTCTTTTTATCTATCTATCTATCTATCTATCTATCTATCTATCTATCTATCTATCTATCTATTCTATCTTTTAAAGTGCCTGATTGACACTTCTGGGTGACATTTCTTACTGCCACGATCCCGCTGACGACAGCGGAAACCAGTGATTTATTTGGCTTGCAACGACTTGAAAACTCGGCATTTGTTTGCGTCGGGGTCAAGTACGGATTTTCACCGGTTTTCATGCGAATTTTTCCCTGAAGATAGGTTAATTGTTTGACTATAGTTTTAGAAGTTGCCTTTTGTTTTCTTTACTAAATGCTCTCCCACTACAAGGCCTAAGAGCCACTGAAGGTAGAGGATTGTCGAATGAAGTTTTTGTATGGCCGTAAAAGGAGGAAGTAAATGCACGTTATGAGGATATGTAGGATAGATAACGGTCGACATTAGACTTGAAGAGATTATGTTTGTAGTGATCTAGAAAGCACCCTCTCGGGAGTCTGTTCCACAAAGTAACGTCTCCAGGTAAGAAGCTGTTTGAGAGGAATATGAACGGAATGAGAATGATTCGGCCCTGTGTACGTGGCATGGTAGATCTGAATTGGTGGAACTAAGGAATTCAGTAAATAGCAACAGAGTATTGATCTGTTTCCACGTTTTCGACTTAATGAGTTTTAAGGTGGGAAATAATTAATCGTCCAGGAAGGAACTTTAAATTAATTGAACTAAACTTAACTTCAAAAGAAAAGTACCCTAATTTCTCGAAAATAATACTCATTCTTTTATTGTAAATTACAGGTTATAGTAGGGATGCGTATTATAAATAGGCTTAAACAAAACTATTTTTTCTTTCTTGATTTATAATGATAAATACGTACTTTTTCTAAAATAAGAAAGATATCCCAATTTTCATTTTAATCTATCTTCGTAGTCATCAGGTAAACGCTAGGCTATGGATGTTCTTAAAAGATATATCAAACCTCTTCGTAAAAAGAAAACATCAGTTTGCTGAAGCTTTCAATGTGTTTCCAGGATACATGGTTTTCATAAGTTCTTTTGCCTTCATCCTTATTTCCACAGTACTTATGGAACATCCATTTGATCGTCTTTCTTTTACAAATTCAACTAAACTTTGTTCCATATCTGGATATTGAGCTTTTCTTCCTCTACCTATAGCTTTGGCACTTGATTTACACTTTTAGTTCATTTTTATTCTTTCTCCATAAACGTATGTTTGCCTCATTCAACTCATATTCTCTAACTGCAACTCTGTTTTCTATTCTTTCTGTTAATTCCATTACATTTTGGTTAAAATTTTCACTATAACTCGCACGTTTTGACGACATTTTGGCGGTAAAATAAAATGTTATATTTACCGAGAAAACCACATGGTAATTTTCAACATTATTTTAGAAGCTTAGTTATTCTTAATGTCAAGGCCGACAAAATGTCTTCGTAATTATATTTTTTTAACAAAATTTATAGATGCGTATTACACATAGGGATAAATATATTTTTTTATTTTTGAATCATTTGTTGGGGTACATATTGTATATGAGTAAGTATTATTTTCGAGAAATTACGGTATTTGAGATTCATTTACATTCAACGTATTTGAAATCTCGAAGAAGAACTTGTAAGGATTCGTACTTATCACGAAAAAGAAACATATGAAAGATTTTGATTTTTTACAAACCCGATCTATCAATAGAAACATTTAAAATAACTTAACCTTCAAGCTAAAACCGAAATATCCACCATTAAACAAAAGATGGAATTAAAAAATCTTAAAACAGTTGAAATGACATTAAGAAAAAAAAAGTCATACGCCAGAATTGCACTTCTATAAATCCAACATTCGAACGTGCATTGAATATTGCTACAACATCTGGTCTGGTGCACCTGCGATATAACATAAGATTCTCAACAGGAAAAGGTTCGCCTATCGCCCGGTTCACACACCTCCTGAGTCTTTTGAACAGAAGTAGAGGTTTATCCCTTGTTTCCGGTTTAGAATTGGGTTTCTGGTTCCTTCTAAAATATGCGTCAGCTCTATATTCCTAACGCTTCTTTTTTCTTATGTTAATAAAAGTCCATACACAGTCTTGTACTGGATAAAAATTAGTAAAAATAAAAAATCCGAAGTCGGGTCTGTAATAGTATCGATCGTAATCTGACATCACATCTTCGTGTAGCTTCCCACCGCCGTGGAGTGACTTCCCACTGGTTTTTCTATAAATATTTTTATGGTAATTGTTCTGGTGAGTTTTCAACCTTGGTACCTGAACCGCATAAATTTAAGCGTAGTACTCGATTGGCAACTAGGTCTCATTGTTTTACGGTTGAAATATTTAGATGTAACCGTAAGTTATATTCTAATAGATTTTTTCCTCGCAATTCTTGCCTGAGGTCTCTTCCGGCTTCTTCCTTCTCTACCACCTACGATCACTAAAAATTTAAATACAGCATCAATCGTCATCTTCCTTCTTTCTGAATCCTCTTATTTTATTGTCTTTTCTTTTCACTAACGTCTTCCCTTTTTTTCTTTCACCCTCAGTAACCTCTTGGGTATTAGGGTCACTATCGGCTTGCTTGGGGTGAAATGATTAAAAAAAATGATTCTTGCTATGCCTGGTTATAACTTACTACCTTTCTGTCCTATATTTTACCATAGAATTATATTCTCAGGGTAGTACAGTTGAAAATGTAGGAATTACGATCTAACGTCGACAGTTTTATTTTTTAATAATCTCACCACAAGAAAGGTGATAATGTCACTAAGATGCAAGAGGCTACTGTGGGTGAAATAAAATGAGAAGACTGAACCAGAAACCCAATTCTAAACAGGAAACAAGGGATCAAGCTCTACTCCTGTCCAAAATACGGGGAGGAGCGTGAATTGGGTGATGGGAGGACCTATCTCCTTCTGTTTATTTATTACTGGGAAAATAATTTAAAAAAGAATGAAAGAACAACAAATTTCGAATATTTATAACAAAAGATAATGCAAATAACAGAATGTCTGTAAAAAGATACTTATTAATAATTTTAATAAAACTAGAAAGATCCTTGAAAATTTCTCGCTTTTCTCATTTAAATTTTCTGATAAATATTAATTCTCAAGTTAATAATTGAATAAGCTCATATCGAGTTTTACGACAGTAAAATATTAGTAGAAATTCCCCTATTTGTTAAATATTTGGGCTTAACTTTAACAAAATATTGCAATAACAATCATCCGATTATAATACTGCTTGTCTCTCATTTCTCGGCCTTTAGGCTCAGATCAAAGTGTAGTATCTGTTCTCATATAATTTCTTTCTCGCTCGCTCTCTTTCCACTTTTATCTTCACTTCTTTCTTTCTTTCTTTTTCTTAATGAAATCAAAACGGAATAGTCCATTATTTATTAGGTATTAGCAGGAAACATTAAATATTTCTTTCTTTCTTTCCTTCATTTTCTCACTGCAACTAAATAGCGTGTCTGGTATGTGTTTTCCGCCTTTCCACGCGATCAAAACGGAATAGTCTTTTTTTTATGAGATATTAGCTGGAGACGTTAAACATTTCTTTCTTTTGTTCATTTCCCCACTGAAACCAAATAGCTTCACTTTTCTGTCTTTTCACACGATCAAAACCATTATTCATGAGTTATTAGCAGGGCGTAACGGTTGTGCTAAGGGAAGATCAAGCAGAATTATAAGAAAATAGTACGTCCATACTGTTCTATTCCGTTCGAATAGGCGAATGGATAAATTTGTATGAAAAAAGTTGCATTTTTATTCGTATTTACAATAATTATGATTCTCAGCTCGAGTGGGGAGGGAGCATTCTCCATAACTTTATAAAGAAATTTTATATTTTTGTCTAAAGTAAACATCTAGCAGAACATTTCCGAACTAGTTCAAATCTTCAGTTAAAACTCACCGTGCTACTACCACTGAATCGAATCACCCACATTTCCCCCGTATTTTATTTGTAAGGATGAAGTTCCACTCAGACTGCAATTTTCCCAGAGTTTTTTTTTATCTCCCAAAAGTCTTAGAATCTAAAAATATTTTCTGGCTTTAAATAGCCTGCAAATATTGATAAGTCTTAAAAAACAAGTAAGAACTCATCATTTTACAGTTGAAATGGCAGCTAGATGTAACCGTAAGTTCTATGCTAATAGTTTCTTCTCTTGTAGTTCTCTCTTGTGGAATTCTCTCCCGGCTTCTTGCTTCTAACTGGGAAGTTAAATCTTCAGAAACTAAATGCGATGTCAATCGTTATCTTCTGTCTTCTTAATTCCTGTTTTATGTCCTCTCTCCTTAATAATGTTTTTCCTTTTCTGATATCCTTTCGTATCCAGTAACATCCTACGTCTTAGTGGCTTTGCTGCCTTGCTTAGGGTGAAATAGTTACAAATACCAATCCACACAGACATGGACAAATGTGGAAGTGTACGGAATTTTAGCTAATTGTGCCAAACGTACCGTCTGTAATGACATTAAAGTTAATAACAGTAGCAGCTCTAAATAAAAATCATCATCAGCAGCAATAGAATATAAAAACACGTGAGACCTATAGCAACTTTCCAGATTTTCTCTCTTTCGAATTGCTGACATGAACTTTCCAAGCTGAAGCTACGTAGGGCTGTGAAACGCCTCACCCGTAAAACACACCAAGTTCCCACTATAGCATATCAATGAACATTTCGTTGTGTATACAATTTACGTCAAACAAAATAAACTCTTACTTTTAACTTTACTTTTATTAATTTCGTTTTAATAAATGTTATCTTGCATTGCAAATCAATTAGTCAGTTATTTTGTGCATGTACTCTTTATACCAGCTTTATTTCATGGACTATAAAATGTTCCTGTAAGAAAACCTACACATTATTTTATTATTGAAGTAGCTAATTACTAAAGGTCAAAACTAAGTGTCACTTTCAGAAGCGTTTTATTCGGGTAGAATTGCCGCTACCAAAGTGAAAACTGATTGGTTAGAAACTATTTTTTCTGCACCTGCATGTGATTGACTCGAGTGGTAGATTGCGAAAGTAATAAACACACTTTCAAAGTCGTCATTCAGTCTCAACTCTTTACATCGTGGAGAAATATTTATCGTTATTGA